TGCAGGCGGGTACCACGTCCTCACTGATCTTGCCCCTCTGCTCCACAGGACGTGTTCTGCCTCCACACACCAGGTGGCGGGGGCTACGGGGACCCGGAGGAGCCTGCTCCACCCCCGGGGTCACCCCCGCAGCTCCCAGCCTTTCCTGAGCGTGGCAGCGTCTATGAGTACCGCCGGGCCCAGGAGGCGGTGTGAGGGAGGGCCTGCACAATAAAGACCCATCAAGTCGCCTGGTTCAGCCGCGACTGGCCAGGCTCACGCTCCGCTATCCTCGTCTGTCTTTCCATCCGTCCACTCAGCTGCCGCCCGCGTGCCTGCCTTGGGAGGGCATGGAAACTCGGAGCCGAAGTCCCACGGCCAGGTGGTCTGTGAGTCCCGCCAGGGCAGTGCTGAATGCCACCTGTTCTACTTCCTGGGGGGTGAAGGCAGGTTGAGGGGGTGTCCCAGCGCCAGCTGGCCCAGTGCCCTGAGCTCTGGTACTTACTGGGCTCAGTGGGCTTGCGGGCATGCCTCTATATGTGATGTAGTCCATGCGCCGTCCCCTCCAGGGCTCAGCCCGGTAGCCTCCGTGGGGAGGGCCTGCCAGGTAGTGGTGGCGCCCTTCCTCCTGCTCCAGGGCCCTGAGGGGGGCGGTGTCATCAAAGCCCGGGCACCTCTCTGTTGGAGGTGGTGCCTGGACCCCTGGGTGCCCCTCACCTCTGCAGCATCTCTGGGGAGCAAGCCACTGACTGGTGGAGTGTGGAAGGGTTCAGTATCGTCCCTGGGGGAGAGCGGTATCAGCGGGAGCGCGGCCTGGAGCCCTCCCTAGGTCCGCCCGGACCGTGCGCCTACCCAGAGCCCAGGGCTGCTCCTGGCGTGTGCCCAGGCGGCAGGGGTCGCAGAAGCGGCTGAAGAGCTGGTGCTCCTGCTCCTGCGCTTGGTCTGCAAAGAGAGAGCAGCGCTTGGTGGGCGGGGCCAGGCCGCCAGCGCCCGCCCCGCTGAAGCCTTTCCTCACCTAGCGAGCAGTTGTCGAAGTTCAGGTCACCCAGGAGCACGCTGAAGGCCACGGCCTCATCACTCTGGCAGCTCTCGGCCTCAAAGTGCTCGACCCAATCCAGCAGCAGCGTCATCTGTTTACAGCGCAAGGGCCCGTCCTCTGTGGGGAGCGGGGAGCGGGAAGGGAGAAAGACTCGGCCCAGGGTGCCACTCCGCATCCGGAACGCACAGCGGAACCGCGCCGCCGCCCCCCGCTTCCCCCCCTCGCCGCCCTGCTGGGTCCTCATCTGTGAGTCCGCCAGGGCACTCCACAGGGCTTTCGGTGCCTGGCAGTGAACAAATGGTGGGGGCGGGGAACGGAGGTACAAGGGAGGGTTAGGACTCATGGCCACCACTCGGAGGCAGATTGGCCTGCCCACGTGCCAACGATCTCGCCCGCGGGGCTCACCACTAGGCGCATGCAAGTGCGTGCAATGCAGGAAGCCCACGATGCGGTGCCCGTCCACGAGTCCCAGCTGCGCCTGCAACACCACGGACAGCCCCAGCAAACCGTGCCCGTTCGACCCCGCGCCCCGCCCCCTCCCCGGTGGGGGATCTCCCGGCCGTGCGCGGGTACCTGTGCAGAAAGCAGTCCCTTGGAGGCCAGCGCGTCCTCGCGACGAGCGTAGGGGAAGGAGCGGAAGGAGGCGCGCAGCAGCGGGTAGCGCGAGGCCAGCAGCAGCCCGCTGCCCAGCAGCTTGAGGTGCGGCCCCGGCTGCAGGCCGAACGTGCCCACGTCATGCAGCACTGGGCCCAGATTGGGCGCCAGGAGGTTCACCAGGCGGCGCGCCGCGCGCAGATCGAACACTTCCTGCAGGCACACGAAGTCCAGACCCTCCGGTACCGCGGCGGTCAGCACTCCGCGGGGCGCCCCCGGCCCTGGCGCGCTGCAGCCCGTGGCCCCATAGCGCGAGGGCCGCATGCCGGTGAGCAGCACGGTGCCCACGGCCTCGGCCCGCCGCTGGCTGTGCTGCAAGTTGCTGAAGCGTGCCAGCCCGTCGGGAAGTAGACACAGGTTGGCGCTGAAGAAGCTGAAGCAGCGCGCAGGCTCAGCTGGGGGGCGCCAGGGCGTGGGGGGCGCCCAGCAAAGCGGAGGGGGCTGGTAGCAGAAGGGGCGGCGCCAGGCCTGCAGCAGCAGCCAGAGCAGCAGGCCGGGCAGCGCCGGCGGTAGGCCGACGAGCAGCAGCAGCAGTAGCGCCGCTCCGGCTTTCGCGGCTGTGCCCAGCCACCTCAGGCCGCTCGGGCGCGCCATTGGCGCCCAGCAGCCCAGCAGCTGGTCCAGGGCCCAGTAGGCCGGGAAGAGCAGCACGCGGGCCAGGCAGTGGAGGGCATGCAGCACGGGGTTCGGGAAGGGCGAGGGCTGGAAGGCGCCAGGCTCCGGAGGCCAGTCGGGCGAGGACTGCATGGCGCGCAGGACTCTTCCGTCGCGGGGCGCCTCGGCGACTCATTCGCTTCCAGCGTTGCGAGTAGACTTGTCGGGTTGTCGGTGGGAGCTGCAAGTGGCGCAAGCTGTGCGCGGGAAGGCACTGTGACTCGCGAGCCTGGGGGCGGGGCGCCGGCGAAGGTGCGCGTCGCGGGAAGCCGCCGTCTCCTCGCCGGCGCCGTATGTCGGCGGCGGTTGCAGAGAACAAAAAGGAAAGCGAAAGGGACCCTGTTAGTCCCGCCCAAGATCCTCGCCCCGCCCCGCCCGCTCCTGAAGGCCGCTCGGAGACCCCCCAGGCCCCTCCTACGGGGGCAAAATCTGGGGTGCAGCCCGCACCGAGCGACGGGGACCCTTTCTAGGGCGGGCGGGCGCAGCGCTAGCGAGTTTGATGCGCCCAAACTCCTCTCCTGAAAGTCCGCTTGGAATAGCCCGGGAGCTGTCAGATTGCAGGATCTACTTCACCCCCCTCTTCTGCCCAGAAGTACGATGTTCCGCACCTGAGTCAAAAGACAGGTCCCCAAATGAGGGACGGACTCGGAGCGGCCTAACCAGCCAGCCCACTCAGCGCCCCGCGGAGCCCCCACAAGGCCGGCGCACAGTGGTGACGGCTCTGTGACTCTACCCCAAGGAGCTTCCAATCTGGGGGGCAGGGACCGTTGGTTCTGTCCTGCGCAGCCGCTCCCGCGGGGCGCACGAGCCTGAGAGAAGCCAGTTCCGCTTGCGCCGAAAGCTCCAGCACCTGTTCGGTAGGTTTCTGGGACGAGCTGCCTGGTGCTGTCCAGTGCTGCTAGCCCCCCACCTTTCTAACTCGAGCTGTGAACCAGTCTCTACAGCTGCCGCGGCGGATTCTTAAATTGCCCTGCACCTCTACTGGCAGGGAGGTGGAGGGCTTCTGTCCTCTACCCCAATTCTCCAGGATACCTGCATCCCTGGCGCTGGGCTGCTCATGGCTGCTTTGCTGGAAGATGTACACCCACAGAGTTCTTCCCATCTCTATGGAGCCCTTCTCCACCCTTCCCAGAGGTCTGGCTGGGCCACCTGAGGTCCCAGGCTGGGAGTGGGAAGGGTAGAGTGGCAGGGAGCCCTGGGGCAAGAGGGTCCCGGCAGCCCCTCCTTCCCCGTAGCCCTCGCTGGTTGCTGACCCTGGGTCTTCTCCACACCGTCCACCTCCCATCGCAGCTCGAGCCTCCTGCCTTTCCACGGGCAGGCCGTCTCCTTTCCATCCTGAGGGCCAGAGGCCACTCTGTGTGGGCTTCCCCACACTGCCCTCTGTCCTCATGCATGCCCCGGCAGGGACAGCCATCCTGGCCTATACCTCTCAGCTTCCTGCACTATCCACAAGCCCTTGCCCATCAGAGCCTACAGGTTACCTCCTGGTGCCCCCTCCGAGCCCATGCCTCCTCTGCCCTGCTCTGTCCTGCTTCCTAGCCAGCAGCAGGCTGGTTGTGCCCTTGCCTGCTTGGGTCTCCCGCCCCGGGTCCCAGCACCTTGTGACACCGCCTCTTCTTCCCCACCTACGGGTGCCTGGGGAAGTGCCCCGTCTCCCTGGGCTGCCCTGTGCCAGGATCGAATGAGGCTTTCTCCTGGTTCCCTCTTCTCTAGTCTTCCCGCCCTCAGTGAGGTCCCAGCAGCCCCCACTCCCTGCTCCTCATCCCTGCCTCGCGCAGGGGGAGGGGCTCCCACATCCCTGCCTCCCTCCCACCGCTGCCTTCCACCCTGCGCCCAGGCCTCAGCCCTGCGTGAGTCTCCAGTGCTGCTGGCACCACCATGACCCTCCTCTGCCAGCTAGGCTCCTTCCCGTTTCCTGTTCTTCTCCAAGTCTCTGGGGTTTCTGCTGCTCTGCCAGGTGCCAGGTGAAGGGAGCCTTGGGGCCTTCGGCACACCCCGATGACCAGACAGCTGCCCCTGGCCCTGGGCAGGCCAAATGAAGGGGCACGGGGGAGGAGGTGCTGGAGCCGCCCGAGGAGGCAGCACAGCCAGGAGTGCCGGCAGGCCCAGCAGCCAGCGTCTATGGGAAGCTTTAATGGCCTTGCACCAGAGAGCAGGGCAGAGCCAGCCGGGGCTGGTGGGGACAGCATCACCAGATGAACATGGGCTTGCCGTCGTCATGGGCCAACTGGCTGAGGCAGGAGAGCAGCAGCAGTGCGTCGGTGAGCATGTTGGGGTGCACGGTCTCCACCAGCACGTGCTGCAAGAACTCTACGGTGTAGGAGCCACCCTCAGACGCGGCCAGCTCGGGCCGCTCCCGCAGGATGCCGTAGGCGTTCACCAGCTGCTCGGTCAGTGCCGGGTGCACCCTCCCGTTGTAGCCCAGGCTCTGCAGCCGGTTCATGATGCTCACGTAGCGCTGTGTGAGCGTCTGGCACAGCTCTTCATCCAGCTTGTGGTCGTTGGGGTTCAGGGAGGCCTGAGGGGAGAGCGAGGGGACATGGGCAGGTGAAGGGCAATTTCTGAAGCCCTATCACCTGTTCCATCTGCCACCAGGGATTCGGGACTGAGCTGAGACCACGAGGGATTGAAGAAGGAGCATGGCTGGGAGTCTGGGATGAACGGTCAGGGGCCACTGACCCAAGAGACACACCCTGGGGGTTTTCCCAGGCCTCCTCCTGGCTCCCTGTCCTGCTACCTCTCAGCCTTCTCTCCAGGCGCCTCCTGTGACCCCCAGGCTGCATCCTCAGCAGCCTGAACACTCCCTGCAGAAGTCCCTTCCCATCCCTCACGCCGACGTGATGACCCAAGGCCTGGTGCCAACTGCTCCCCGTCTCAGCACTGGGCATCCCGCGCCCCTTGGGTGTCTGCTCTTAGCGCTCGGACATGGGGACTGGCAACAGCTGGGGCATCTTGACCAACTTGTTCACCTGTGACCCCCAGCCAGGCAGTGACTACATCCTTCTGCTTTCCACCCCTCCTGCCGTGGCCTCCTAGACATGTGACCTGGGCAGTCACACAGGAGCCGATGTTCAGAGCACTCAGCTTGATGCCCCGCTGTAGCCATCTTGGAGTTCTTCCTTATTTCTAACCAGGATCCCTGTATTTTCATTTGCACTGGGTCCCATAAATTACGTACCTGTCACAGGCGCAGCCGTCCCCAGGCCCACAGAGCTCCTGGTCTTAAGAGGCAGTGGGATGGGGTATCTCACTGCCTGAGCCCTCCAGCGCTCGGGCCAGGGCTGGCCTGCTTGCCCCCTCCCAGCATCCCCCAGATGCCTGCCAGGCTGCTCCCTAACCCGAGGGGGCTGGGCCGGGATCTGAAAGATCAGGACAGCAGGGGAAAGAACGTGCCCAGGAACGGCACGCATGGTGTGGGAGATGCCGGGGGCTGAGCACATAGTGGGCCCACAGGGAGAGCTGGCTCAATGACTACTACTGTCACCACACTGGGTCTGAGCCTCAGCTTCTCTGCTGTGACACCACCTGACAGGGCTGTCTGGGGACTAAAGGAAATGTGTCAGCACCACTGCATGGGGATCTCAACGCCATGGGACACCTCAGTGGGCCCCACACTGAGCTGTGTTTCAGAGGAATAGAGAAGTGACGTACATTGTTGGGTGCTGAAGTTTGCTGGGCGAGACCAGGATCTGGGAGCGAGGGGACTGCGAGGCAGGCCACACTCTCAGCACCTCGCGCCCACCCTTAAACTCTCCTGTCCCCCCCTCCCCATAGCTCTCTATGGCTGTTCTTGTTGATCAAAGGCCTCCCCAGGAGAGGCTGAGACCCCTGAGGGCAGAGGCTGTCTGTCTGGTAGGCACTTGGCGCACACTGAATGCTCATACTAGTCAGGTGTGACTAGATGGAGGGGCTAGGGTAGCTGTGGACCAGTAAAGTGATGGTGGCTTGGACTGGAGTTCATAGTGGGCGACAAGAGAATGTAGCTATATGTGCATGGGGAAGTCTTTAGCAGGAGAACCAGCAGGGTGCGAAGTGGACCGGATGTGGAGGAGAGAGCAGGCGTGACCAAACATGCACACCCCAAAGAGACTGAGCACATGCGCTCACCGTCCAGCCCTTCCATCCTGGAACACCACGACACTGACCATGCTCAGTGATGCGGGAAAAGGTAGCAAATGTCACAAAATCAGTGTGGTACAGACCTTGTTTTCTGAACACAGGGCAAGAGCATTAGAAAGAAAAAGACAGCCAAACGGTCCTGGGACGATGGAGACTGGAGGGTGCAACCTAACTGATTCTCAAGTCCGAAAGGCAGTCCACTGCAGTTAGGGAAATATTTAGACCTGAACAGCCCAAGCTGCCTGTCCAACCCTGTGGGACGCAGCCAGCGCGGGGCTCTGAGGCAGGTTGGAGATGCAGCAGACGCACAGGCCACTCCAAGACTCCACGTTAACAACAGAAGCAGCTGATAAACAACAGAACACTCTCCCTCTGCCCTGGATCCTGTCCCACCATCCACTCTGGCCGGCGTTCCCGTTGTACCAGTTGTTAAATATATTGGCTATCTCCTCGCCCTAAATGTATTTATTTAAAGACAGATGTAAAATAAAATGACTTAGAGTTGGCTTCATAGCGTAGTGGTTAACACATTTGCTTTACATGCAGAAGGTCCTGGGTTCACGCCCCAGGTGGAGCCACGGATCATACCCCGGGTGTACCAGGCCCCCCAAGCACTCCTAGGGTGCCAGGCCCCGGGGGCGAGTGGGAGGAGATGCCTTACCTTCAGAGATCCAGTTTTTAAGGGGAAATGGCAACATCTATAGGTCAGGGGTGGAAGTGTGTGAGTGAATTAAAGAGGGGAAAAATATAAAATAAAATGACTTAGGTGC